ATCGTTCTATCTTCCTCCGGAACGTTGAAGGCAATACAAGCACCAAAATAACCTCGAGGTTCTCGGTCTGATCTAGCTCTAAATTCAGCCTGTATGACTAGAAATATCCGCTTGATCCAGCAACAGGAGAAAGACTCTAGATTTATGAGCAGCGATATTTGCCAAGCAATAGCAACTGCCAAAGGAATACATATCGGATTGCGTATTTTCGTACACTGACTCGGGCCCAATCGATGTCGGCGAGACGGTTGGATTCACATATCAAATTGTTGGCTTTGGGTAATATTTACTTTATTGTGGAGACCTAAAACCAAGCCAAGTTATACCATTCTGGCAACAAATGCACAAGGACCTTGATTTCGAGGGCTGGATGTTGTTTTTGGCAGCTAATGCACCCAGCCCCCGAATCCAACAACTGTAAATAGCGCCAGGGATGGAAGCATTTCTATCATTTGACCTTGATACCTAGAAGCTATTTTGAGCTAGGCTAGGCGCCGTGGGGTGGCATTGGGCCCGTAGATGTCTCCGTTGTCGTAAATGTGCCTTCCCGTTGGAGAGGAGATATGGCGCCGACCTTGGGGATGACGAGCTCCTGGCGCTGGGGGGGTAGCGATTATTTTAACATTGAGTCATGACCTAACCTCGGGGTATACAACTACCGGATATATGTTACGATTGGACGGAGGCGGAGCAATATCTGGGACTAGGCAATAGATAATTTCTGCATCAGAGTTTCAACTTCAGTGTATACAAATCTTCCATAGTAGAGATTTTAGCATATCCCCGCATACCACGTCGTGTTACCCAACATGTTTCCCTTCTACTATGATTTTATGCCCTTCATCAACCCTCCAGAAACTTCATATCTGCCTCCCACTCAAAATTTCCGTGCGACATGCTGCATCTAACACAGAACGATAAAATGCGGGCGATCATAACGGATAGTGCACTAGAATAGTGGAAGGTTCGGGCCGTGGGAGGAATAATATCAAAAGCGAATATTTCATGCTGTGTAGCAGTACACGTGCTGGAGTTCTATAGAATATTCTTTGAATCGCCGCTTTCCTAAGCTAATTGGTTCCCATTTATCTCGTACCCATACATACCCTCCTCATGTCCTCCCGCTAATACACACATAGATATGATCTGAAGCTGTAGCACGGACGGGTGGTATATGTTAGAACAGCGAGTGGAAATCAGCAGATATGGCCACAGAAGTTAAGGTTCCTGTACCTTGGTATGATAGAAACATGGGCAGAGATGGACTCTGAGGCAATACAAGGTATTTCCGCACCCTCTACTTCTCCCGCTCAAGAGAACCGATTTGTGGAATGGTATCACAAGCGGTCCTATCTATATGCTGACATTCTTCCTGTTATGGTATACAAAGTTTTGTTTTTGCAATCAACGTTATATGGTTCCATGTCACAAATCTCAACCCTCTTCCAAGACAATATAGTACGATATCGGGAACCGGTTTCAAACTGACCCTTCCCGAATCGCATAATAATGCTTACGTCGAAACTTACTCGAAGCATCCGAAATTAACACGCCATCGAAAGAGAGGCGGGCCTCTCAACCTAAGCTACTCTGGTTCATTGCTGAGACTGCTATCGAGCTCTCAGACTACTATCGACGACACTAAACCAGCTTCTTTGCTCGGCTGTTCTAGTTTCGAGACTGAACCAGCTTAGCTCATGAAACAGTCCAACAAAATCCAACACATTCCAACTGGCATCCCTCTGGACTCAGGCCGCATGCATGACGCTGCTACCTAAGCAGAAGCTGGACAGAGGTAGCTGGCCAGAGATCTGAAAGGAATCTAGTCATGCGGGGGCCATTTAATTTAAATTCCTGTTTCTAAGACCAAGGGAGGAAATAACTGGTAAGTGTTTTTGCAGATGACCCAAATGACAAGTATCTGGGAGCTGCGTTGTTGAACGGCACACTAGCACACATGCCCTCCACAGCATAGCCAACACAACAAGGCTGATGTTAATTTTTATCCCGCATGCATTGGCTCCTGTTGTGAGATTGTGATAGTAAGCTGCATAGTCCACGCTATGGTATGAGATTCTGAGGCCATGACTACTCGTTTCTGTCGCTGCGTTTAGTGGGGACTTTCCGGCCGGGCATCTGGAGAGGCTCTCCAACCACGCGAGGATGACATGTTCGTTTTGAAGCAGTATCACATCTTCAATATAACAATCACACATTTTTTGCTGATTAAAGAGCTATGCATGACGTACACTGGTATGTTTTATGATTGGCTACGACAGTGCCCTAAAAATGATATGCGTGTATCAAAATTTTCCAAATAAGTGATTTGCAAATTCGCTCCCTTAAATCACGAAAGAGACTTTCCATTCTAGCACAACATTAAATAAGAGCTAAGTATCTGAATGCCTTCAGGTACGTCTCCACTGGGGCTGTCTCAACAGTTTGCTGTCCCGGATAGAAAGCACTATGCCAAATGCAAACATCGACTTGTATTACGTACTCTCAGGAAGCGACCCCCAGACTATACGTACTTACTCTTATGACTTCCGTAGCTATTGGCGGCTATAGGACCTAAAAAGGTTTAGGTCCCTCTAAACTAGATATGTCGATGGTGGTGATACGGTCGATCCGAAACGGTGGCGTCCCTTGAATAGCACTATAGCCCACTTGCACGCCTCCAATCAAGAGGCTAAATGTACTAGTATAATTTCGATTTCGGTGACAATCAGATATATGCAGGTAGGCGGTCATCGAATACCCAGATCTAAGTTCAACTCCTTGCACCACAGCCGCCTGTAACCCGCACAAAAAGCTCTTCCTCCGACAACCCCACTCGTCTTAGCCGCAAAGTAGACATTTCTCGGGGAGCACCCAAAGTTTTGGAAGGGGGATAGTTTGATAGCCATCTGGTGGCGATTGAGGCCAAAGTACTGCGCGGAGACCTATGTAAATCTCGGGCGGGAGGGATTGAACAAGGGAGGCTTAGGCGGTCACACAATATGCACACACGGCACACTACATCACGGGTACACTTCCTCGGCGATCCAGAGTGTCGAAGCGCAGCACGAATGGGCACCTGCATCGGTCACCGACGGATCAGAGGGAGACAACTTGAAGATACGTCCTACAGATCTAGGGGTCAAGGGGTCGAGAAATCATCATTAGTATTAATTAAGTGGATATTTTGGTACATCCCACTTCTTTTCACCATCGAATAATTAACTTTCCCTCACGCTGCTGTTCGGTTCATTTCTAATTGGAGTCGGTTTAACTTTTGTACGTTACATCTACGATGTTTCAGAATCTCCAGGCACATGGCTGAATTCGCGAGTGCATGCTTCTAGAAACCGAGCCCTATATCACCAGGTTTGAAACCGAACCCACCAGGCTTTAGCTTAGCAGCGTTGTCCAATTTTCAAACTATCAAAGCCGGTTAACCCGCAAAGGGCTGTACGGTTCGGTTTCCAAGCTTCGTTGTATGAACATGTTGAAAATATTATTTTGTTATCAATTGATTGTGCAATTGTGCCGGCTTGATTATATTATTCAGGGTAACTACTATTTTCTTTTTTCCAGATTTGTGTCACCATACGTACATGCAGCGTTGGTAAATTTTCGGACATATGAGACTATGCTCGGACATCGCACCAGCTGGAGATGAGGGGGTGGTAGCTGATAAAACTTAGCATGCTAAGCTTCGGCGATAAAGCTGCTGGTCGGTGCTCACCTGTCTCATGTGGGATACCTTTTGCAAAACATCATCGCGTCGCATCGGAGCACAAAGTTCCTAAGAGAGTCTTATGTATTGACCTTGGGACATTTATTAAGTTCACGCGTACCCTCAAATCTGCCGAAGGACTGGGTTCATCTAATAATTATATATGATCGCGTATTTACATGTTTTCATCGAAGGTATACGCGGCGTGGCTCCGTGGCGTAGCTCCCTAACTGATCCTTACATCGATGATGTTAGTAGATAGCTAAGACACTTGGCGTAATTCCTACTACGGTCATTTCTTAATAAGATGGCTAGTCCAGAATTTAGTCGGTTGCTGTATTATTTGGTTTTCCGGTATTGTCTATCGATCCAGCACCCAATCTCGAAATTTGTCCGGGTTTCCGTAGAATGCGTATAACCTCTAACACCCGAGAAATTAGAGGAAGGGGATCTATCAGATTGCAAACGTCTATGAAGCTAGTTATATCCTGTTCCACTCGCGAGCGACCCATTCATAGACCAAAACAATGAGATTTTTCCCATACAAACACGTTGATACAAGCTATCTCTAGCACTGGTTTTTCAAGAAGGGACCCGTTCACCTATTCGTAGGGAGAAGCTTAAGGTACCGGGCATGGGCGGGATTGGCAACGGAGATCTAGCGCGATTATTGTATCAACTATGTTACGACGTGATTTCCCTGACTAAGATCAAGCCCGTTGGCAAGTTATGACCAAGAAGAAACCCTGGGAAATAGTGCGAAAAACAAATGCCCGCGAGAACCGCTGCCGATGTCAAAACGAACTTGTAGTATTCGGGCTCTGCGACACTTGTAGATAGACCGCGTTATCCATAGCAGTTTATTCGATACGTAGATGCATCGACCAGCGGTCATTAGAATCTGCGCTGAATCGAAGGTAATTTTATTCGTTTAATTAGTCCACTTAATATTATTTATCTGGAGATAGATTCTTACTCGACCTTGCTCAGCTCTGTATCTGTTGGAATACCGTGTTGAGAATGTTGTATTCTTTGTCAGCAAAAACGCCAAATCTTGTGCTCCTGTCATGAGGCTAATCTGGGGCGGTCTCCACCACCATCAGATCCCCATTACAACCTGGACGAAAAGCTTCACTCTATCGAATCCTTCAACCCCGACCGAATATTGGATTATGAAAGACTATTGGTGGTAAATAATGAAGGCCTCTTCACCACTATCATCACCTTACCCCTCTCCCAATCCGTTTGACTACTAGCCCCACGGATCACAGCGTAGCACGGCATGATAGACGACGAACGCCCCACCGACGAGCCCTGGCAAAACGTAAAAAGCGAAGAAACATGGGAGGAGGGGGAAGAAATACTCGATAACCGACATGGCGCACCGCACCATCATGAAAACACAAGTTTTAGAACACTTGCTCATGACCTATCAACCGACCCGACAGACTTCGAGGGGCAGGCGGTGTTGTGGGATGGTGAAGGGTTTGAGGATCCAAAGAAGAAGAGCAAAGGCTCGAATGCCGTTCAAGGTGCTTCGGCCGCTGGAACTGTAAGCTCGCCCAGTCGAATTTTGAATACTTGTACTCATATGAAAGCATAACTAGCGCGCGATCACGATGCAGCTCGTCTCATTCTACTTTCGGTACCCAGTCAAGGCCTTCATGAGGCTGCGTATCGAGTATGTTTACCATATTGGCGTCTAGAGACGAATGAGCTGGGAGGTATCATGGAACAACTTTGCTGATGGTCGATGGAATAGCTACATGGCGGTCGCTCGTGCGATAAATCCACAGATCCAAGCAAATGCCGCATGGACAGTACACCAGTCGACATTAGGAGTTCTAGCATATGCAGTTAGGACACATGGCTGGCGATTCATTCCGAACCAAGGTATTATCTTCACCAGATACTGAAGTGAAAGGTGCCGATGCTAAACTAGGCTTGCAGTTCTTCCCCCACTGCTGGCGAATACATCCATGGGGATTATTTTATATACATCGTATTTGCAAATATTACAACATCAATACGCGCCCGCTGGTCATGCTACAAAGCGTGCTTACCCTCCCCCACCGTACTGGGCTACGTTCACTGCCGGTGCAGCTGCCGGTGCAATACAGTCTCTATTTGCAGCTCCGTTGGATGCTATAAGCTATCGATTTGATGTGAACGTAGGTATCTTTCCTTGGCTATGTTGTGGTTTTACAATGCCTAACGATGGAAGTATAGGAGCTTACGAAGCACACGAGTGTACTTCCGGAGCCGAGCATGAAGTCAGCACCTGTATCGTTTTGGGCCTATGGACGCCGAATTCTTAGTGAAATAGGCTGGCACGGCGTTTTTGCAGGTTACAGCTTGAGCCTTGCGAAAGAGTGCTTTGGATACGGTCTGTTCTTTTCGACATTTGAGTACGTAAAGCAGCAGATGTACTACAGGTGGCTTAGTCATTATTATGGCCATAGACATCGATACTTGCACCCGTTCGGAATGAAACCATCGGACCCAATCACGATTATCCGGCCTCATTGGTCCTTGGAACCGATGTTCCTTCTCGGTGCCGGGGCCTCGGCGTCGTTCGCATCACATGCAGTTTTTTATCCGCTGAACCAGATACAAAATGCCCACCTAAAGCAGCTAGAGTTCATAGATAGATCAAACGCCCTAGCGGCGGCAGGGCTAAAGAAACATTCATATGGTTGGTGGACGCGGTACTCGCACGCATACGAGCAGACCTACAAGGATTGCAGGGAACTGGCGACTCGAAACGGCGGTTGGAGACGCTGGCTCTACAAAGGGTATTTAATAAACACGATGAAGAGTACGCCGAGCACAGCGGCCGCCTTAATAGTTTTCGAGCTTGTCAGGCGAAAATTTGGAGAAGAAGTCGGACTTGCATCGATACAGCATGACGGATTTGAGATCGTACTTTGATATCTCCATTGAGAGACTAATCCCCACTTGAACTAGTTATTAGAGGAAATTACGCAAGTATCACATTATTTCCTTGTATTTTCATTATCGATACCCACTCAACTCTCTTCCTGTACATCGAGATACCCTGCATGTTTTATGTACTCTTGTCAATATTTATTTATCTACGCTTATCTACTTCCTTTCTTATCCTGCTATCATATCCCATATCGCATTATACATATTATCACGTTCCAATATGTCAATTTACGCAATTGCAACAAACCGACAGCCTGTCTTGCGGACCTGTCAGGGATCCGAAAAAATGGCAGCACTCTGATTGGCTAGGTTTCGTCTGAATGGCCATTACTCAAGGCTCGCTTGTTTTGTTTTGTGATAATTTCCGCGCAGACCACAGCGCCGAGGAATACCCCCTTAACTCCAGAGTAAATTGAAGCTATCCACCCTGGTAAACAATCATATCACTTGCTGGCTAATCCTTTCTGTTCCCTCTCCTTCTCTTCTCCATCTTTTTTTTTATCCTCCTCGGGAGTGAAAGGTGGCTTTCCCTCTCAACTTCAAGATTTGACTTTTGCTTTTCAACACTCACTTTCATTTTTCATCTCTGGCGCATTGTCGGCTTCCATAACCCCGGGCAACTGATCCCTGGCTAAAAATGACTTCAAGAATTACTCGCTCGCAGACTGGTAATACACCACGGTATGGGAACTCCCTCATCTAGTTTTTTTGTCTCGTGTGATTGATTTCCAGATGCGTAATGTGTGATCGGTTTGACTGAGAGCCATATAGAAGGGTTGAAAAACCAGGTTTCGTGCCAACCCCTGGTCGCAAACGTTCAATGTCGCCTGTCAAGAGAATCAAGAAGATTTATGATAGCGATGAGTCCTATGAGAAGCCGGCTGCTCCAAACAATGGCCACTGGCATCACAATGAGGCTATCGAAGATGAAATCAGCGACATCCCACCAGGAATCAACGATCGTATCACACCGATTCCTTCAACTAGCTTTGATATGAAGGCAGCTGGCAGTGTCGAGGCGATCCACCCACACAGTGATGATGACACCGACCATGTCGACTTCGGTGGCGCTCCAGGTGTCACGGCTATGATGATTGGATTTCCTCTTCTCATGTGGTATATGTGGGTTGGTCAGGAATACTATGACGGGAAATTTCCAACTCCGGAGAAGGGACAGTCTTTCATTGATTTTGGAAAACACTTGTTCGAGCTTGTTAAAGAGGTGTGTACCAAGGTTTTCGCTTCTGATAACGAAACATCTATACTGATCTGGAATCTTCACGAAGGGTGCGTATCCAAGTGCCAAAGCCTTCGCCATCTACTGGGTCTTTTTGATCGCCCAAGGCATCCTCTACGTCACCTTGCCAGGCGTTTATTCCCAAGGCAATGCTGTCCCATCTCTTGGAGGTAACCGATTGACATACTTTTGCAACGCCTATCTTACCTTCTGGTTCACCTGTGGAACTTTTGCCCTTCTTCACTACTTCGATATCTTCCCTCTACAGACTTTTATTGAGGAGATCGGGCCTATCACATCTGTCGCCATTATCTCTGGCTTCCTCGTTTCTATTGGGGCTTACGTTTCAGCCCATGCCAGAGGCGTCCAGCATCGCATGACGGGGTCGTTCCTCTACGATTTCTTCATGGGCGCTGAGCTAAACCCAAGACTTGGAATCATTGATATGAAAATGTTCTTTGAGGTTCGCTTGCCATGGTTCTTCTTGTTCCTTACTACCGCTAGCACAGCCGTCAAACAGCACCAAGAATACGGCTATGTTAGCCCTCAAGTTTGGTTCATCCTTCTCGCCCACTTTTTGTATACTAATGCATGCGCCAAGGGCGAGGAGTGTATCGTTACCACCTGGGATATGTTCTATGAAAAGTGGGGTTTCATGTTGATTTTCTGGAATATGGCCGGTGTCCCCTTCACCTACCATCATTGCACCCTTTGGTTGGCCAAGCACGACCCTGCCCAGTACAGCTGGTCGACTGGCTTCCAAGCCTCCCTTTTCGTCACACTAGTTTGCGCCTATTTTATTTGGGATACCTGCAACAGTCAGAAGAACAACTTCCGTAGGCAGCAAGCCGGAACCTTTGTTGACTACAAGCGCTTTCCTGCTCTTCCGTGGAGATACATTCAAAATCCAACTTTCATCAAGTGCAAGAATGGGGGCACTCTTTTAACTAGCGGATGGTGTATGTCCTAGCCTCCGCCCCTCCTCATGGTGTTTAGATTACTGACAATACCCACCTTACTTCTTTTCTCTTTTAGACCGATGGGCTCGCAAGATTCACTACACTGTTGACATCATCATGGCTCTTACCTGGGGGTTTAACACTGGCTTCTCGTCGCCTTTCCCCTATTTTTTCCCGGTTTTCTTCGTGTAGGTGCCCCTTGTTCAAGTTTATCTTAGGACCCTGCTAACATCATTATCTAGCTGTGTCAACATCCATAGAGCTACTCGCGATATCCAAAGATGCAAAGCTAAATACGGAGATGTAAGCGGAGTCGCTCAAAATGTGTGTTTCTACATCTACTAATATATCTGGCACTCTAGGACTGGGTTGAATATAGTAGGCAATGCCCCTATCTCTTCATCCCTTATGTTTGGTAAATCCTAGGGCTGGATACTGTCCTCGGTCGAGTGTCGTTTCTCAGGCAAAATATTTGACAACTCTTCATGCAATCGCAGCCGATGAGCAATGAGGCGCCCGAACCGTGGGCTCGAGGTTTCTTCTCTCTTTTTTTTTTTTCATTGTACAATAATTTCTGTGGGAATTCCTTTTGGTATAGCCCTTTATTAGGGCAGATAAATGAGGGGGGGGAACTGGGGGAGATCTGGGGTAGGGCGGGGATAGTAATGTCTATATGGCGGTAATGATGGACGGGGAGCAATGTAACAGATAATTTTAATCTTAACCTTCGTAGATATACCCGACGCAAACCTACTCACTGTCATTACTTGACCAAGATCATTCCAACTCGGCGACAAGTATTTACTTTGTATTGTTGTATTTTCAAGTGATCCTGTGTTGCGGTGACGTCTTTGAAGCACTCGACATGCAAGTAAGAAGTACTTCTTACTTAGGTAAGTTCGTCCACGCCAATTGTAGTCCTGGTATCAATGAATAAACGTTTAAACAGTTATTCAAAAATTCGCTTCCCACGAGCTACCGATTCCCTCGTGTAACTGTATACTTTATCTACCGAGTATTTATCCCTTTCTTGAACTCTCTTTTCCCCTCAAGATGGTCAAGGAAAGGGACAAGGTTTTGGCGATGGCGCTTGGCCTGGATCCATCAGGGACTAGCATCTCCCCGATTAAAGGTGGATCTGAGTTTGCATCCCTTCTACGGGTTCAATCTGGGGGAAAGCAATTTTTTGTTAAGGCGGGCGCTGGGAAGAGTTCAAAGACTATGCTTGAAGGTTAGCTACGTTAGATATTTTTAATTTCAGAGACAATCTTTTAGAATAACAACAAGAGCTAACTGTACACGGCTGGCGTCTGCCACATATACCGGGAGACAGGCGAGTATGAATCGCTGAATGCCATACATACAGCCGTTCCAGAGCTTTGTCCCCGGCCAATTGCCCATGGAGACTTGCAGGATGGGGATTATTTTCTCGCTACGGAGTTTCTTCAGCTCCATGGCAGCAGCTTTTCACGACAGCAGAGCGGTAGCCGTGAGAATACGCTCGCTCTCAAGCTCGGGAAGCTACATTCGCAGCCAGCGCCATCTGACGGTAGATACGGGTTCCCAGTAACGACTTGCTGGTAAGACTTCCACGGCCGATGCGGAGGTTTATGATTTTATTGCTGGCCTGAATCTGTCTCACGGATATCTATGCGATTCGTAGTGGAAGTACACCCCAAGACAATTCGTACGAAGACACATGGTCTTCATTCTTCGTAAATCGTCGCCTGCTACCTATACTCAATGCTTGCATCGAGTCCAACGGCTCGCAGCCAGAACTTGCGGACCACGTCAACCGAATGATACCGATTGCCAAGTACTTACTTTCTCGTTTATCACCACCCTCGTCTCAGCCCGTCATCATCCACGGTGATCTCTGGTCCGGCAACCAATGTAACGGCTCAATTCCTCCACGAATCCCGAACCCCACCCCTGTAGTTTTTGACCCGTCTAGCTGCTATGCACCAGCAGAGTACGATCACGGTATTATGACTATGTTCGGAGGATTTGATAGAAACTTTTGGGAAGAATACGAAGCAGTAGTGCCCAGAGGCGAGCCCGCCGGCGAATATGAGGATCGAGTTAGTTTATATCGTTTGTACCATACTTTAAATCATTTTGCACTGTTCGGAGGGAGTTACAAAAGCAGTGCGATTGGGATAATGAGAGAACTCCAGAGGAAGTATAGAGATAGAATTGATGGTTCGTAGCCTAGCGGATGGAGTAATCAATAACAATTAGGCACTTGGTTCGATCTAGAACCTAATACGGCCCAACGGCCACGGTTCCAATCTCATGGATTTGTTGCCATCTTGGCCGGTTAGGCGGGGTATTGTTGACATTTAAGCATTTTGTTGAGAGATTCCCAGATACATGTGGCTTCGTGGTAAGATTCCATTGCCATGCTGCATACGGTCTGGCAACACGTCTCCTTGCAGCTGCGAATGCTCCGAGCGACCACTGGACTACCTTGCGGCCGATTGCAGCTGAATGGAACGCCTGCAGGCAGATAGAATTAGTAATAGTATTAGAACACAGCTATTCCATATCATATTGGCTGTAATCGATGTGATGTGGTGTAACTTAGGGCATCGTCAAACGGCACTTTCAACCCAGAGGGATGGGAGCATTGACGTCGGGGAAAGAGTTAGGTGAACGAGCTCGTCTCGCGATGTGAAAATACTCGGCTGCTCATTACTATCTTTCGCCGAGGAGGGAAGGTCATAATATGGTATCTCGCGCTCAAATACAAAAATTGGAAACACAAACGCCGGCGCACCGAGAAAAGAAAAAAAAGAGTGAAGATCAATGTAACTTCTAGTGAATATTCATCGCCATATGCGATTCAAAGTGTTAGACCTATCCTGCCTCCTTGACGCTCGGTACAGCTGTTTCATTTGGTGCATCACTGTTTTGATTCCCAGTGTTTGTAGCATCTTGCAGCAGGAGGGGGGCTCTCGACTGTAGGTTAGGCGATTCCCTTGAAGCTTCGGATCCGGATACATTATTTGATCCAATACCACTACTGCTCTCGTCGAGCAGTTCATCCATCGAGCCCTCAGATTCAGGGCCCTCCTCTAACCCCCAACTATCTCCCATCCTCCTAACAAGACTCATATAATACTCCTTCAAAACCTCTGCTTGGGGTACTATCCTCCACCCAACCCGATTTAAGAACTCTAGTTCAAGAACATTCAACTCTCGCAAGCTTATGCCTCCCACCCTTGCATAGAAGGTATTTGTACAGAAGCTATCGCAAAGGCCCTTTGAGGAAACCGTTGCAGCTGTGATGAGGAATCGATGGACTGTTAAAGAAGATATTGTGAAAGCCGGGTAATGATTGGAGAGAAGGTCGATGTAATAAACCATACTAAGAAGAGTCGATGGCTCTAGGGTCGTATGCAGTGCAATTCGATGAAGATAGTCCGTGATAGTGATGGTGGGAGGCGCACTGAATAACCTTTACCGTCAGCCCTAGTTCGTATCGGCTTTCAGACACACCAAGGAGGGACCATTTGTTTAGAGGGAGGAGTAAGAAGAAAAGGACATACCGGCTGTGAAATCGAGTCAATCCACCTTGCGTCAGCGGGATCCCATCGTTTAGAGACACCAATTGATTTAACATATCGCTGATCAAGATTACCAGGTCGTTCATGGCACATAGCTGATAATCCCTAGGGACAAGCTTCCTGGCGGGTTGCAGTGGTTTTACTCGCTTTGAGGGTGATCCAAGTGTTAAGGGATCTAGAGAAGTTTCATTCAGATTCACACTGCTAGACGATGTGTCCTGGGGCTGGGTCTGAGGAGTCCGGATTGAGGATTCTGCGGCTCTTCGCAACAGCGGTGATTGGCCCACACGCGGCGATGATTTTGACGATTGAGTCGATTGGCCTGTCCTTCTCAGAGGGCGAGGAGACGAGCGGACATCCGAGGTAGACGCGTTTTGTGAGGGCGTCGTAGATGTCGTAGGGTTGGGATTAAGAGCTTCAGAACTTAATGGCCGCTTCAGCCGAGGACTGGTGATAGCCGCTGCCACTGGGTTAGGGACTGAGGTACTCGGGGAGGGTGCCGGAGGAGGGCCCATCGGAGCGAAATTTGGGGAAGCTTGCCCTGAAAGTGGCGGGTGGCTACGCCCGGAGGCAGATCGGTGGGGCCGTGGTGACATGTGCTGGGATTGAGGTATGCGGACCTGTTGAGGTGATGGGGGAGGTGATGAGGAGGTTGAGAATGGGCTAAGAGAAGGTGACATAACTGTTGACATGCTTGGGGACGGTGCTCGCAGTTGCAGCAGTAGCACCAGAGGAATTATGAGTGGAGGCTTACGCTATGTCGGTTTATATACGGTATAGACATATGTCGTAAATGGGATGCAGCGACGCAGAGGTGTCGAGAAGAGTAGAAAGGGAAGGGAAGGGGAAATAAGGGAATGGAAGGAGGGGGAAGAAAATCCAGCCAGCTGAGTTTCAAGCTTCGAGACTAGTTTCAAGCCTGTTGCATAAAAATTAGAAGAATTGTATAAACGGAGTTGCTTGTCCTGAAGCTTAGAGTAGAATGAGGGTGAGCATCCGGTGTCGTCTGCGCAAGATGAAGGAAGGAAGGAAAGAAGGAAGGAAGGAAATGCACACTCAGAATTGAAAGGAAGAAAACAACCGGGACATGTAGACATACAAATTCTACAGGCACAAATCAATTTCCGAAACAACCTTTGGCGGTGACGGTAGTATTCAGTAGAGGACTAGCTACAAGCTAATGTTCGCTGATGCCATTCACATAGTATGATAGAGAGCCCTGAGGTGACCTGCTCGATTCGCAGGCGTTCACCGGATCCCCCGACTGGTGCAGCTGTAATTCCAGTGGATCACATATAAACCGGCATTGGATGCATAAAGGGACCTGCGGGTACGGATATTGAGTATCGAGTCCACCTGAAATGGAGGAGGCAAAGCGATAACGGAGAGCTAAAGCTTGGGCGTGGTTGTGTTGTTTGTGTGTTAAGAACAATGCTCGTTGTTTGCTGCTCTGAAGAGGATAGATGGTGGGATCAAAGTTCAAGATGGCGGCAGTTATAAATCCTTAAATCGTTTTGGTGGTGATGATGCGAACGACCGTTGGGTTGGCGGCGGTTTGGACTATCCGGTGGAGAGGGGCAAGCGAGTTATTTATATGCTATGCTGCTAATATTTAAGATGTCGTCAAAGCAGTAGAGCTCTCCGGAGGGTCCTGTGAATGGGTTGAAATTTTGTGCTAAGAAAGGTTTTACCGGGATGTTCTGGCGAGGGTTGAGTACACCCGGGCACTAGCAGAACTGCTGATTCGGCCACTGGCTGGCTGTTTTATATGTGAGATAAAGTATAAGGTAAGGCAAGACAGAAGGCAGCAGCAGCAGGAGGGATATTGTGGAGAAGGGGCGACGCTTAAATTATACTTGTTAATCACCCAACGGCAATAGCGAGGACAAGCTCTTAGACGAGCGAGCTGGCCGGCGGAGGGGTGATAGGGATGGCGGTATGGTACTGCTGTAAAAGAATCAACAAAGGTTCTCAGGGAGAAGGGAAAAGAGAAAAAAAAAAAAAAAAGGAACGCAAGAGGGTTTCCACTGACGTGCTAAATTCAAAAGAGGAAGAAACTATGGAACCAGGCTTGCGACGGTTCACACATTTATTCCTGGGCATCTTCAGCCGAATGAATACAGCCAACAACAGCGATCTAGCGAAATGTTTCTGTGGCTGCATGCCCATGTATGTATGAAAGGCCACGCTCGAGATTGCTTTGTCACTTGTTTACAGGGCCAAGCATAGCTGTCGTATTCCCTCCCCGACAAGATCGAGCATCTGGATCAGGCACCCTCCTCGAAGAAACAAAAAAATTTTCGACAGAGTTGCGCGCTAGTCCGAACAAATTTGACCTATATCCCCTGCGAGCCATATGCACATGTCACCAGCATTTTACTCCATTACAACAAGAAAATGCATGATTGGGGGATGCTGTTAGATAACTTGTTGACAATGCTTACCACAAAAGATCACCAAATGCGCGAATCGGTGTGCTTTTGCATTCTGTGTGTGCATTTATGGGTTTAGATTTCGATTCGGTTGGAAGCTCCCAGCCAATCGGGGGCCCTGGATGGAAAACGTTGCCGGCCAACACTCCGGAAAACGGAATGGAACCCTGGGCAAGACTATCAAGCTGGAAGGCAAGCTAAACAGAAGACGGCGTCAGTACAGGGCTGAGAACAATAACCTTCCTCCCGAGTGATATTGATACATGTACGCCATCATCAGCCGGATGGTTTTTTAATGCTTTTTCCCGGATCATCCCTTTTGGGCATCTGGGGGAAGACCGGTGCAACCCATCGCGAATCGGCAAAACAAGGTATATTGTATGTCTCGGGTTGAAAATTTATCGAGGCTTTGTTTGATATTAGAATTTATGACAGCTCGTGCTGGAACGATAGCCATTGACTGGCTGGGCTTCTCGATTGCTCTGCTGGGATGTCGATTGCGGCGGTTGTATTATCGCTCCATTCCTTGTTACGTCCAGGTATCGATCAATGACAGCTTGGTTAAATATGTTTTGGATCTAAAGGAAAGAGACCGGATTGAGAATGCTGGTCGAACTAAAGCGTATATTGCATTTTCCACTCAGGGTGTCATGTGGTTCGACGTCTCAAATACACACGACTAAGGTTCCTGCTGCTACCGAGGGACGGAGTCGTCTCCGGCTCTGTGGGTCACAACCTAGTGACCCAAGCGGGATTGCTTGGGTTTGAAGTCGCATGGTCTCTCGTAACATGGACCACATATAGTATGCATTGCTTGTGCATATCTCCACCTCATCTGTAGACGTGGATTGAGAGTTGTGGAGTCTATGGCAGCCTTGTCGAAGGTTGATGCCTCCCAAGCCAGAGCTTCGCTTGTCGGATTTTAGTTTGTTGACTGCCTTGCTCGGAGCCGTCTGCCTGCTGCCTGAGAACACTAGCATGCTATCAAGATGTCAGGCGAGCCGTATGTTAAACATTCCTGTAGCCATGTTAATGACCGACCGTTTTTCTTCACCTTGGGCAGCTTACCTAAGTAACTTATTATAATATATATACTCGTTTGTTAATTCGTTGATTCGTTCGTTCGTTGATTCCTTGGTTTATTCGCTGCCTCATAGGTTGGTTGATATCACTTTCTTGTATTATGAAAATAATCATGAATTTATGGATATGGAATCAATGTCTCGATGTCAATGTCGATGTTGGTGTTGATGTTAATTTCGAGCACTCAATCGAGAGGAAAGAAAGAAAGAAAGAAAGAAAGAAAGAAAGTGTATACTAGGTACCTACCTAAGTAGGTACTTACCGCCTGGCATGGGATTCAAATATATCGATGCTGGATTATATCATCTGATCCGATGTAATGCGGCTCTCCACGAAACCTGGATGGAGGTAAACAACATGGAGAGAGGAAGCTAACTTGGAAGGTTACCTAAGTAAGTAAGTACCTAGGTACCTACAGTAAGTACTTATGTCTTATCGACCCAACAAGGCCCGGCGCATACACCTTCCGAACGACTCTTTGTCTAATATTTCAACCTTCTGCAAAATAGCCCACGCCAAACAATCATATCGCGCTTATACTTTCCAATTTACAACCCCGTGAATTTATCAACGACATTCAGCCCAGCCCAACTCAAAATCCAGCCAACTTGGTTTTTGGGAAGGATCTTGATCCTCGTTGTAAAGACGGTGCCACCCGTTGGTGCATGCATCTATATACCTGGTACATATTCTAGGCCGGCTGGGCGAGGAATAAACATAGTCTCTTCTTTTTTTTTTTTTTTTTTGCCGCTTCTTCCTCTCACTTACACCCGAATCGCCATCCGATTAACAAACCCCACGACCTTATATTCGTGCTAGAGCAGGCTTTATGAAAAGCTTCGCTGCTCCCAATATGGCTCTAGGCTCTCATATCAGCTGTTCACACGTCCTCCAGGCCATCCAGGCGCCTCTCACTAGGCAGGAGACTCTCCATTCTCTAAAGCACATCATCCTCGGTCATCACGAGCAGAAGCTGGAGTATGTCCAAGCCGGTCTCGTTGATGTTTTGCTTCAGATCCTCGATGACGAACCGGGCTATCGTCAAACTAAAACGAAGAAAACCCCCGTAGTCGAGACCGATGTCATCATCATCCTTGGGAGTCTCGCGCGAGGTACCAATAATCTCGATTAAACCCCATCCAAACGACGGGCTTAGAAAGCTGATCTCTTTTTAACTTAGGCGGGTCTGTTTTTCTAACCCTGGGCCAGCTTGAAAGATTTATACCGCGACTTCTCGACCTTCTAGAATCGCATATGTCGCATACGTCACTCCTTGAGGCATCACTCCGAGCTCTCAATTGTATCCTATCGCTTCCGATCGCGAGCCAAAGTCCCGAAATCATTTCTATAGTACACAGCCACCCTTCTACACTACGTTCGATATTCAATGTACTTTACAATTCCACTTCTTGTCGTGACCTCGCGGCCTACCAAGCTACTCTCTTTATACCCAAAACGTGTACAAACACCGATAATCGATGGCAGGAATCGATGATCGAATCCGGCATATTGCCTGCTTTGATAAAGAGATTGTCGGTTCTTGTTTACACCATCCAAGCCTCTCGCCCAGGGAAGGGAATTGGACTTTTGAAACTCGGACCCAAAGCGAATACAGACCGAAGCTCCTTGTCCAAAAGCTCCAGCACCGTCTCATTACGACACCGACAGAATTTAGGAAGGGTTTATGAAAAACTTTCCACTGGTGGCGAGCGATTTTCGATACCTCCCGCCTCCCACGTGTCGAGCCTCTTAGGCGCAATTGCATCCATAATTCGAGGGAGCAAATTTAGGGCTGACCAGTGCTTATTTGCCAGCTGCATTACGAATATTTTAGGCGAAGAAGCACCGCTGGAGGAACACCGACCACCACCTATGTGGAAAGACTCAAAGGTATCCGATGATACCCAAGGGGGGAGTCAATCCAGCGGATATCAATATGCGGGCCAGGATTTCCCGCCTCTGTCGCCAAATTCAGAGAGGCATCCTCAAACCCGGTCTAGCTCGTCGGTGAATGCATTACAGTCGTCGCACAGCGCCACAGAACACTCACTCGAGCACGAAAGAATAAAGATTCCACAAATATCGGAACTCAGGTTCGTTGGAGAGAGAGACGATGACCCGGAATCGCCGTTGATTCAATGGTTAATATCATATATTCGGCATGAGGAAGATTCTCTTGCGAGGCTTACCTCCATTAGTCTACTCACTGACTTTGTGAAGGCGGGTTGTGTTTCTAAGCGTAGAGTTAAAAAACTAGGGTGTTTGATTGTTCCTATGCTAGTCAGGTATCTAGATGAGATTGACACTAGTACAGTGACTATCACAAAGGTTTATGAGCAAGGATTCCAAGCTCAAGAGATGGAGTGGTCGATTCGAGAGCAAGCCCCCGCGATCCTTGCCACCTTGTTGACGGACCACCAACGCCTTCAAACAGCGGCTGTAGAGGCCGGTGCTATAAAACGGCTTACAGGTATGCTAAAACGGGCATTCGACGCGATCCCTGGCTCGGACGAGGGCGAAGACCTGGATAGTCATGAAAGTTTATGGAGGGAGAAGGTGCGAGCGCACCAAATTAAAGTGAGGGAGGGGACCTTGCGGGCTCTGGCGGCCATTGCGCTCTTTGAAGATGATCACCGAAAAAAAATTATTGAGAGCGGTGCTCTGGGTTTTATCGTCGGGAGTCTGACTCCAGAAATGTCAGCGGAACCCCTTGGAACTAGAAACGACAGTGATTTAGTCATGAGTGGTACACAGGATCCAGCCCCCCTTGGTATTCAACTCCCGACGATCTCGGAAAACGACTCGGGGTCGTCCTTTACAGTCCCGGAGACGTCGAGGACTGGGAATCCTATCTCTGTGCTAATCGCTGCTACAAATGTCGTCAGATCTCTATCCAGGTCTGTGAATGTGCTTAGCACGTCTCTCATAGACTGGCATGTTTCGGAACCATTGTTCAGCTTGCTGTCACATCGATCCATCCAAGTCCAGATTGCGGCTACTGCTGCCCTCTGTAATCTTGTAATGGAGTTCAGTCCATTACGAAAAAAGCTAGAAGAACAAGGGATCGTCAAAGCACTTGGTAACTTTGTGAAGTCTGATAGTGGGAATGTATGTGCATACGATCGACATGGCAACTCAATCGGGGAGTTCGACCCTGAAAGGGAGTCATTGCGCTTGAATGCCATATGGGCTCTGAAGCATCTCGTTCTGAAGCAAGATGAGACTGTTGTTCTTAGCTGCTTATCGGCATTCGGTACTACCTGGCTTCTAGAACAATTAGCAATCGAGGATCATAATCTAGATCATGGCACCAAGCCTGCACTAGAAGACAATTCGGATGAAGGGCGACAGATACTCAAATCGCAGAGCGATCTGTTTTCTCCAAGGGTTATCGACCGCCTCGTTCTCAATTACGCAACCCCGAAGCCTGAAGACCTCCGTAGGACAGCACTTGTTGAGTTCCAGGAGCAGGCCCTGGATTTCTTCCGCAACATCATGGCGGGCCCAAACGCTAGTTCAACATTTAGACATATTCTAAGAGACACTCAAAATATGGAAGTTCCTACCACTCCTATTTGCCCATACGACGAACGCCCTAACACCCCTCTCCCCGAGACCCCAATTAATCACCGAACACCATTCTATGACGTTCTTACTGAGAAATTGAAATCCAAACCAGGAGAAAAGATCGTTTTGGCAATTATATACGTTCTTGTTCATATTGGTGCCTGTGCGGAACATCGAGCAACGTTAATTGAGCAGTCTTCGCTGTTCCACGAACTTATCAAGCTTTTCGAGCTACAGGTCGACCAGATTAGGATTGGGCTGAGCTGGTTGGCTATCAATCTAACCTGGAAGGAAAACGGGGTCAATAGTCCGGATTTTACCCGCCGAGTTCAGAAGCTCCGAGAGTATAGATACGTTCATATGCTGGAGTGGCTAAAGAGTGGGGGTGTCGGGGAATCGGACCACCTTAACAGGAGGGGCAGTTCCAGCCGTAGCCTCGGCGAAACTACCATCGATATGGAAGATGTTCCTATAGTTAGAAATTCTGATGGCGAAGTAGTTCGCACCGGGCCCTCTAGCGTCAATATGAGTCTCGACCTCAGAGAACGATGCAGGCAAGCCCTCGCCCAAATAAATGATGTATAGATTGAGTGGGAGGGGGGAAAAGTGGGCTTATGGAATGCATATAAAGGCAGCTGGAAGCGGTCGTTTTCTTGTTTTGTTAATTTTAGCGGCAATTGGATACCTACCTACTACTACCACCACTACCACCACCACCACCACCACTACTACTACTACTACTACTACTACTACTACTACTACTACTACTACTACTACTACTACTACTACTACTACTACTACTGCT